TTGAACAATAGATTAAGTTTCAAGGACCCATTATGCTATTAGTTTTTCAGGAAACTCCCTATCAAAACCAGTGGGGAGGTCAAACAAAAAAAAAAAGGATGAAATGATTTAGCCCGTCACCTAATTCCCTGAGTACCCCTGGCTGGACTAACCTCATTAACAGTTAAAGCTAAAATGCATGACAAGGTCATTTTAGTGACTACAGTATATTAACAGGAACAATCTTGGTGGAAAAAAAAAGAGGTTGGTAGCATTATTTGGTGTCTGCAGAAATAATTAAGTTCAAGCAGAGGCATAATATATTGCCTCTTTCATTGATCCAATTGATTCCTATCATCTCAAAAATAATAATTGCACAGTGAGTAGATTTTAATAACATTTAAGCTCAACAGGACTTGCACCTTTGCTGTGCATATCAGCATACATAAGAATAATATTTAGAATATGCGAGATGAAATATAAACTAGAAATGATAATGAATACATATGACAATGTGACTAAAAATGAGAGACTGACATTTTATTTGTAAGAGAGTAAATGAGGATGACTGTTTGGTGTAAAAGGCTCTAATTTTTTTCCTCTTTGTATTAACAATTTCATTGGACTGTGTCTCAGGGAGGTAGTAGGATTTCCATAAGACAGCATTTTGCATTACTTTGCCATCCTATTTCTAGAAGTTTTTCCAACAAAAAACACTTTGTTTTGTGTGAATTTAAATAAACCTATAGCTTGAGATTTAGACTAAGGTAGAAACAGTTGTACTGATGTATCTGCTTTACCTAAGGAACTCTGCTGCAAAAAAAAAGATGGTGAATGAAACAAGAAAGATAAATTTCTATAGGATTCCTGCTTTAGTTAAAGTGTCATTCCCAGAAAGAACTTTTGTCTTTTTTGTTTAGAGAATACCTATCATATTGTGGCTGCTAGCAGAATTAAAAAGCACTATAAATGGAGCAAGAAAAATCAATATACTTCCATAGCTGTTGTTAAAGGAACATCTGGGGCCATCTCTTACAGTCTTATTAAGTTATGTCTAGTCTACGGTTTGTTTCAGTAAGACCAGCCCCAAATGCACTGAGATTACAACACAACACTGCCAGCCAAGGATCTCAACTGGAAATTAGAATTCCTGTCTTGCAGCTAAGGCTGAAATTTGAGTCCAGACCTCTCCTCCCCTCTTCTGTCCTTCAGAGCCGGGCTGATCCACAGCACTGAGCAGCTCCACAGCTCTGGGAGGCTGTCTCAGCAG